TTTCTTTCTTTCTTTCTTTCTTTCTTTCTTTCTTTCTTTCTTTCTTTTCTTTCCTTTCCTTTCTTTTCTTTTCTTTTCTTCTTTCTTTCTTTCTTTCTTTCTTTCTTTTCTTTCTTTTCTTTCTTTCTTTTTCTTTCTTTTCTTTCTTCTTTCTTTCCTTTCCTTTCCTTTCCTTTTTCTTTTTTTTCCCCAGACAGGTCTTACTCTGTCACCCAGGCTGGAGTACAGTGGCTCAGTCTTAGCTTGCCACAGCCTCTGCTCCCCAGGCTCAAGTGATCCTCTTACCTCAGCCTCCCAAGTAGCTGTCACTACAAGCATGTGCCACCATGCTTGGTTATTTTTTTGTATTTTTGGTAGAGACAGCGTTTCGCCCTGTTGGCCAGGCTGGTCTCATCAAGCAGTCTACCCCGCCTCAGCCTCCCAAAGTACTGAGATTACAGGCATGAGCCACCGTGCCCAGCCAGCATGAGTAATTTTTGTGTCTGTCTCAGATACATCAACTTTGAGACCTTGGCTTCCTAATTCCAAGATAAACCCTTCCAGTTTAACATTTTCACTTATATTTTTGCATTAAGGACAATAAAATATTCAAAAATTATGAGAACAAACACTGAATAAATAGAGATGCCAAAGTTGCTGTACAATTAAACTATTTGCCTACAGCACTATAGTGTAAGGGCTTGAAATGTTTGTTTTTCAGTCATTGTATAAAATTCTGAATTCAAAGTTTGAAAAATAGTTGTGAAGGAGAAGTTAAAGTATAACACAACATTTTGAGTAGTTGAAAAGTCAAAGGTATGAAAGCTGGATACAGCCTATGAAAATTGTCAGTTATCTGAAAAAATTTGCTTACTTAGAGAGCTGTGATCATTATAGGTAATTGTGTTTACAGGGGAAATAGAAAAGTAAGAATAATGTTTCATACAGTAGTTGTATTCCAAGTTTTGACGGTTTTCTGCTTGTAGACCTCATTCTAGCTATTTTCAGTGTTCATTTGCCAGTTTGGCAAAAAGAAGCAGGCTTTTGAATATAGCTTTTGCAGCTATTTTTATTTTTTCTTTAACTACAGTATCCTTTTCTACACTGTGAAAGCTATATACATTTAAAAGACATCTAAGAGGAGCCAGAATATGTTGTATTATCTCCTTGCTTACTGAGAAACCTCAGACAGCCAAACTACCATGGATATTTTTATTACTCTCATGATAATACTTCTGTGTTTATGTAGCCATTTTATTTGGAATGCTGCCATATTAAAATATTAGAATAACAGAAAAGTGAATTTTAATTCTGGAATTTATATTATAGGGAAGTTGCTTTCTCAGTTAAAAGATTTTTCTCAGCTCAGGTAATTTTCACTGCCCTCAAATACTTGGAAGTGTTCCTGCAAACTGGGTATTTATGAACTTCCTCCAGAGTAAAGCCACATTGGTCTTTAACTTAATATGCAGTTTGGTAAGTTAAGCCCCAAATCTCCTAAATCAGACTTCATTTTTAGCAACATTTTAGACTAACACCACTTTGCTGCCTGTCAAAGGTGTGTGTGTTTTGCACATACTGCCAGTAGAAGGCCTGTCTCTTGTTCCTGGTTTTGTACTTATGAATTCTGTGTTCCCTTCAGTTAGCACAGTCATGTGCCACATAACAATATTTTGATCTACCACAGTGGTCTTATAAGATTACAAATAGAACTGAAAAAATTCCTATCACCTAGTGACCTCATAACATCATTGTGCAATTATTTTATTTTTTAAGTAAATTTAATGTGGCCTAAGTGTACAGTGATTTTATTTTATTTTATTTTATTTTGAGACTGGATCTCACCCTGTTTCCCAGGCTGGAGTACAGTGGTGCACTCTCAACTCACTGCAACCTCCACTTCCCGGGCCAAATGATCCTCCTGCCTTCACCTCCTGAGTAGCTGGGAGGCATGTGCCACCAGGCTCAACTAATTTTTGTATTTTTAGTAGAAACAAGGTTTAACCATGTCGCCCAGGCTGGTCTCAAACTCCTGGATTCCAGTAATCTACCTACCTTGGCCAATCAAAGTGCTTGGATTACAGGAATAAGCCACTATGCCCAGCCAAGTGTACAATGTTTATAAAGTCTATGGTAGTGAACCATAATGTCCTAGACCTTCACATTCACTCACTGCTTATTCACTGATCACCCAGAGCAACTTCCAGACCTGCAAGCTCCATTCGTGGTCAGTGCCCTATATAAGTGTACCATTTTTTTTATCTTTTATACAGTATTTTTACTGTACTTTTTCTGTGTTTAGATGCACAAATACCATTGCGTTATGGTTGCCTACAATGTTCAGTATAGTAGCATGGTATATAGATTTGTAACCTAGGATTGATAGGCTGTGTCATCTAACCTGGAGGTGTCGTGGGCTATACTATCTAGATTTATGAAAGTGCATTTGGCATTGGCATTGATGAAATCTCCTAATGATGCATTTCTCAGGACATATCTGTCATTAAATGGTGCATAGCTGTATTTGTGAGTCGATTACATAGGAGAGACCTTTGTTAATAATGGCAGTGGCCTAGAAAAGTAATGAAAATTGAATTAATCTTTAAGAGTATAGTTAAAATATTTAGTTAGTTTTTAACCTATCAAAAGTCAGACACCTAAGGAATGAAGTCTAGACTACCAGTTATAATATCATTCTTGATATAGAACATAGAGGTGGTGACATTTTCCTTCCCATTTCACTGTCTTTTAAAAATGATTAGTGGATTATTTGAAGGTAATGACTGACATTTAACAAATCATTTGTAGAGCTAGATAGAGGAAAAGAGATAAAACTGAGCAGTTATTTTATGCCAGGCACTGTAATATATACTTTACCTTTGTTTTCATGACAGTCCTGAAAAGTAGGTGGCCTTCTCTCCATTTTACAGATGAGCAAATGTACAGAGAGGTTTAATGGTTTCTGATAGAACTAGGAAGGAAATATGGGATTCCAACTCAATTATTCTATGCTCTGCTCCTTCCACCAAATCAAAGGTTGGCAAACTGTGGCCCATGGGCCAAATCCCCTTGCCTGTTTTTATAAATGAAGTTTTATTGAACACAGCCACACTCATTCTTTTGTCTTTTGAGTTACAATATCAGAGTTGAGTAGTTGTGACAGAGATGATATGGTTTATAAGCCGTATTTACAGAAAAAGTTTGCTGACTGCTATACCAAACCAATACATTGCTTAGAGGTGTTATGAACAGTATGCATTCAGTAAAATAAATGTCAGTCTTCCTAAAGCATTAGACTTTGACAAGAACAATAAACTAGATTCTTTGTAATCTAATGAGGAAGGCAAAACATTGACAGCAAGCTGTGAATGTTCAATAGCTTTTATTTATTTAATTTTATTTTTGTTTTGAGACGGAGTTTTGCTCTTGTTACCCAGGCTGGAGTGCAATGGCGCGATCTCGGCTCACTGCAACCTCCGCCTCCTGGGTTCAGGCAATTCTCCTGCCTCGGCCTCCTGAGTAGCTGGGATTACAGGCACATGCCACCATGCCCAGCTAATTTTTTGTATTTTTAGTAGAGACGAGGTTTCACCATGTTGACCAGGATGGTCTTGATCTCTTGACCTCGTGATCCACCCACCTCGGCCTCCCAAAGTGTTGGGATTACAGGCGTGAGCCACCGCGCCTGGCCTCAATAGCTTTTAATGTTAAATTTTGAAAGATAGTTTGGGATGATTTAAATGTAGACCTTTGTATTCCTATGATTTTACTCATTATATAATTCAAGATAGTCTGGGATGATTTAAATGTAGTCCTTTGTATTCCTATGATTCTGCATATTATATAATTTATCTTAAAAAGTCAATACTTGAAAACATTTCACTTTTCTCATGAAGGTAAGTATAAATTACTTTTCTTATTTTATTTATTTATTTATT